TATTTATACAAGCTCCGTGCATTATTTGATGCATTTTAAAATGTTAATATGTTCCCATTCCCGGCCGATCAGACCATTTCGGGCCGGCCCGGAAAAGATCAGTCCGCCGCCAAAAACGGGGGGCGGGTGTGCCCCCCCTAAATCCGCGCCTGTTCTCGGCGGTAATTTTATAAATTTCCTTTTCTGTTATAATATAGAAATCAATCAAGATATCCATCACGGTAAATTTATTTGACCTGATTATTTTTTTTTGTCGCAAAATGACCAAACTACATCGACGTTGTGTGCAGAACGACGTTGAAATTGGAGCTCAATCAGAACGAAATCACATTTGTTAAATGAAACACTAACCTCACTGTAAGTGTTTGACAGACATATTTGCAGATTAGTACAAACTATAGTAAAAAGAAACTTAAGTTTAAAGAAATCTGTTGTTGTCAGTAGTGGTCCAATATTGCCCATCTCAGTATTGGTCTTGTAGTATACATGTACATTTCTATTTGTGAATATCTAGGAGTCGCATACTTCCACTCGCCCACTCGCCCTGTCTTCAATGTCAGGTCTTTCACATATATACAACGGGCAACAACACTTGTAAAAGGAGTGCTTTAATTTTCAGACTACTTCTATAGATTCATAATGCCTAAAATGGCGGCCTTGAAGGTAAGAAAGATGAAAAGAAAAAACCTGTATCCTCTCTGTATGAAGCTAACTGCATAATGACCAAAAATCCAACGGGAATACTGCATCAAACACCACTAGCCTGGTCTGTCAGTATACCTATATTATACTACATCAAACACAGGTACTAGCCTCGTCTGTCAGTATACCTATATTATACTACATCAAACATAAGTACTAGCCTGGTCTGTCAGTATACCTATATTATACTGCATCAAACACAGGTACTAGCCTCGTCTGTCAATACAACATCAAACACAGGTACTAGCCTGGTCTGTCAATATACCTATATTATACTACATCAAACACAGGTACTAGCCTGATCTGTCAGTATACCTATATTATACTGCATCAAACATACGTACTAGCCTGGTCTGTCAGTATACCTATATTATACTACATCAAACACAGGTACTAGCCTGGTCTGTCAATATGCCTATATTATACTGCATCAAACACAGGTACATATAATGTACTAGCCTCGTCTGTCAATATACCTATACTATATACTGCATCAAACACAGGTACTAGCCTCGCCTGTCAGTATACCTATATTATACTACATCAAACACAGGTACTAGCCTCGTCTGTCAGTATTCCTATATTATACTACATCAAATACAGGTACTATCCTCGTCTGTCAGTATTCCTATATTATACTACATCAAACACAGGTTCTAGCCTCGTCTGTTAATATACCTATATTATACTGCATCAAACACTGGTACTAGCCTCGTCTGTCAGTATTCCTATATTATACTACATCAAACACAGGTTCTAGCCTCGTCTGTTAATATACCTATATTATACTGCATCAAACACTGGTACTAGCCTCGTCTGTCAGTATTCCTATATTATACTACATCAAATACAGGTACTATCCTCGTCTGTCAGTATTCCTATATTATACTACATCAAATACAGGTACTATCCTCGTCTGTCAGTATTCCTATATTATACTACATCAAATACAGGTACTAGCCTGGTCTGTCAGTATACCTATATTATACTACATCAAACACAGGGACTAGCCTGGTCTGGCAATATGCCTATATTATACTGCATCAAACACAGGTACATATACTGTACTAGCCTCGTCTGTCAATATACCTATATTATATACTGCATCAAACACAGGTACTAGCCTCGCCTGTGAGTATACCTATATTATACTACACCAAACACAGCTACTAGCCTCGCCTGTCAGTATACCTATATTATACTACACAAAACACAGGTACTAGCCTCGTCTGTCAGTATATATATATTATACTACATCAAACACAGGTACTAGCCTGATCTGTCAGTATACCTATATTATACTGCATCAAACAGGTACTTCAAACACAGGTACATATAATGTACTAGCCTCTTCTGTCAATATACCTATACTATATACTGCATCAAACACAGGTCCTAGCCTCGTCTGTCAGTATACCTATATTATACTACATCAAACATACGTACTAGCCTGGTCTGTCAGTATACCTATATTATACTGCATCAAACAGGTACTAAAAACGGGATGTTACACATAGGACCTGCCAAAATACCTAGGTATACATGAAATATCCTCCCCGATATAGGAAATATAGGACAATTACACTTTATGCATTAACACAATAAACGGCATCATAGTACAGAGAAATGGAGGGGACCTACAGAAAATGTCTGGAAATGTTTCGAAAGCTTCATTGAATTCAGTTCTCAGATGTAAAGGAATAACATGTACATTGTCGACACAGCTGTAGTTATCTCCTCTGATCAGGCCAAGGTACGCCTCTGCCCCTTTTTGTCAACATATCAAATGATTTGAGAGAGAAAACAATTTGATACAAATGATCATAAACCAATCCAGAATAACTGCCAAATGGTGTCCCATTTTCGATTTACACTTTTCGACTTGGATGGCCTACAAATTCGCTCAGATGACAAAAATGCAACCAAATTAATTACATGTAGTACTTATGAT